ATATTTAAAAAAGGTTCTCCACTATGAAATTTGAGCAATAATTTCATATCTCGCTTCTTAATTAATATCTAATGATTATATCATTTTTATCTGAAAGTTTTATATTTTAAAGTTATTTACACATGATTCAAAACCTAAATCACAATTTGACATAATTTGTGTCCGCGTATCGCGCAAGTACTAATACTAGTTGTTATAAAATTAACTACGTGCTTGAATATTTTTTTTTGAAGTTACAATGGTAGTTTCACCCAAAAAAAACAACCCTTATATTGCTTATTATCTTTTGGATTGTTATAAAACAATAAATGAAGAAGAAGAGTATTGGAGAGAAAAGTAGAGAGGGAGAATTTTTATTGATATGGGATGAATTACAATGGTATAAAACCCTCTATTTATAGGAAAAGAGTGACTTAGCCACCAAGTAATAATTCCTAGAATCTCTCTAAATATAGACATTCACCATAAATAAAATTCTATTTATAACACTCCCCCTTGGATGTCTATTCAACAAATAATGTGCCTCGTTAAAACCTTAACTAAATAAAACCCAGTGGAAAAAAATTCTAGAGAAGAAAAAAGAGTACACATATCGACAATACGCCTTTTGGTTGCCTCGTTAAAAATTTTGCAAGGAAAACCCAGTGGGACAAAACCTTGTAAGGAAAAAAGAGTACAATGCGTATTAACTCCCCCTGATGAGAGCATCAATTCACATCTTAAAGCATTTGCATTCCAATCCTGTGCACCATCTTCAAAAGATCTTTGGTAGAGATTTGATGAACAAACCAGCCATATTAACTTCAACGAATTTGTTTCACCTTGAAATCATCATCCCTGATAGATGTATTGTCTTCATATGATCTTGTTGGAATCATCATTTGAATATCTTTACATAGGGGTGAAAACTCTTGCTATCATATTATCATGTTTATAGTTATAGCAAGATACATATGTGCACAAATTGCATTTAGGATATGGTACATCAGGATCAAGAATTGTATATGCTTTAAGCGATTTAAATCCTTCAAGGATTGTCATATAAGTTAAGTCATATAAGTCATATAACAGACTTTAATTAGACGCATATCAAGTTTTCATGCCATGCTAAACAAATATATCAAAAACTGATTACACATACCATTGACTTTATACGTTCAAGTATTTGAACTACATGTTCAGAACTACATGTCTTTCATATGAAACCAATTCCATTCGAAATTATTTCTCCTGACTTAAGATCCTCATATATATTTAGCGCTATGATAGATGTCGTCGACGAACATTTTATATCGGTATCAATATTTTTTCATAAAGACATAACATAGAAATCTCTTCATTTATATATTCAGGTACCTGAATCTCTCATGAGATTTTATGAAGTGTTATGTCATGTGTTCTTCTAGATCACTTGCCTCCTTTATTATGATCTTTTTGATCAGTTGCTCATCTTCTTTATCAAGAAGTTTATTTGAAACCGATTTGTCTATACGCTTTAAGCGTACCATAGACTTTGTCCTTCTAGGACTTAATAGGAGCATTTGCAATGAGAATATAGTTACTTTCTTCGGGTCAGCAAATGCGTTTGGCATGCTTTGCAATATATTGCAAATGANTGGTATTCTTTTGTTATGTAAGTACAAATTGGAGAATAAAGCGGGTAGCTTTTCACATACATATTACCCCGCTACAAGTTGTAGTAATAGAAGATATAAAATCTTTCCTTTATTTATAGTCTCAATATAATCAACCGCTTTCGCGTATACTTTGGAAACTGAATAAGTTTCTTTGAGACTTACTACAACACAATACCTTATTGGTAATTAATTGTGTTTCTCCAAAATAGTAATAATTGGCTCTTCCAGAGCTCTCAATTAATTTGGTACTGCCACATATTCATCAACATCCATATGGTGAATATCTCTTTTAAAGAGAAAGTTATACCATTATAGTCATGGTCAAAATTATATGCAAGATCTGTTTCTTGCATTACTGTTATTCTTTAATAATCACATTACCAAAATATTTTGGCGTACAATAGGTACGTGACCAATGACCATTCATGCCATAATAATGACATTGTTTTTTTATATCATCTCAAATCTCCTTTTAGAGGTGAGTGTGGTATATTCGCTACCACTAGCACATTCATATTCTTCCAAGAATGAATATGTATTTATAAATCAGATGTTTTCACATTCACATCATGAAATGGACCATAATCATCTATATGTGCTTTATAAAATATCATGTCAAATCGATGACAAATATTACTTTGAAGGATTATTTTGAGAATCCTTTATTCTCATTATCATAATGATGACGATTATAATTTCGTCTATTACCACGTCCACATCCATTGATACCTTCAAGGTAATAATTTTGTCTTCTTTCAGACTTATCACATATTGCTATCACATTCTCTTAAGGGAATGAGAATGGAACAAATTCAATGGGATGGGTTTTCAATTCTTTGCCCACAATCATACATGAATTTGATCATGGCAAGGCATAGAAATTTTACCATTTAAGGTGGTTATAATTTCTTACAAACTCCATTAGAGTTATAATCAAACTTTATTGTTTTTGCTTGTATTTAAAATCAAAGTATAGAATAAAAGAGAAAAATACGGTAAAATACTTACCTTAAATCCAGAATTTAATCATGAAGGAAGTTCATGGAATAATTGACAATCATTATGCTCAATCCCAGAGCTTCTACTCAATTGGTTAGAGTCTCGTGCTGATAATGTGTTATAAAACAATAAAAGAAGAAGAAGAAGAAGAGTATTGTAGAGAAAAGTAGAGAGAGAATTCTTATTGATTTGGGATGAGTTACAATGGAATAGAACCCTCTATTTATAGGGAGAAGGTGACTTAGCCACCAAGTAATAAACCCTAAAATCTCTCTAAATATAGACATTCACCATAAATAAAATTCTATTTATAATATTATCTTATATAAAACAAAACAGGAGGATAGCATTTATGGCTCTACCTTCCTTTCTCTAGTATTTGAAGCAGTTTTTGATGCAAGTGTATGACAAAATAAAGTGGTGGTTGCTCCGAGAGCTTTCTCTTCGAGCTGCTGCTGCGCCTTATTGTGTGTGTGTGGTGGGGGTGGGGGGGGGGGGTAGGGAGGAGGAGGGGTCGGGGGTTCTAGTAGGTTGCCATTTTGGAAAACTTTATTGTATCATGTTCCAAACTGTTGGTCGCCTACACTGAGGAAGGAGGAGGGCCGAAAGATTTCTTGCTCTTACTGAAACCTAAGGCTTTTTGTATTTTTGAGCAGAGATAAACAAAGTTCTCGAGTATATTTTCAGAACCTTTTCCCCTCACATCTTTGGTGCAAGTGAACCCCAATAGTGGGAGCAAAACTATCGAAATTGAAATGTTGCATTTGAGTGATGCTGAGTTGAATTACAACTTAAATATGAATCCCAATGAACTGTAACTAAGAGTAAACTTACTAAAAATGTCTTTGCTCAAAGGCTGAAGATTTGACATTAACACCATAGTTTGACAAGTTACTTTATTTCTCACAAGTCACAGGATTTTAGAGCCACTTAACCAACGTTAATTACATAAATTGCTTTCTTTAAATTTTTTTTTTCTCCGGTTGAGGAAGGGGGGAGGGGTTGTGTGTGCATGGTTGGGTGTTGCTTCAAGGGCAAAAAGAAGACAAAGAAAAAGAAGGGAAATAAAAGACATGGAGAAAAAAGGTCTAACGTGCACCTCGCAAGAGTCTAAATTGATTTCCATTAATGGCAACGGTACGTTAGACCGAGCAACTTGTCAGGTCTTTATGAACACAAAAGATTGGTATGGTACAATGACTAACTTCCAAGCTTAGTATCGGTGAAATTGCACCTTTATGACTGATCCAGCTTCTTTTCAAGATATATTAATAGTACAGTTGGAGTGTCAAAAATCAAAATTCAGCAGAACCGGGTGTCCGAGGGAAAGGTATTGCATCTCTTATGTTGTCTATTCCAGTTGCAAATTGTACGAGCCTTTCGAAGCCTAATCCAAATCCAGCATGAGGAACTACAACATAAGAAAAGGTGATGTACAATTAAAATCTGTTTCGTGAAAATGTAAACTAGGAGGTGAAGAACATTGGGCGTGCAAATTTACTGTTGTCTTTTCTCATAAAGGACTTGCAGGAAAGTATTGTGAAGACAAGTTGCAGTTAAAGGGATTAAGGTAGTAATATTAGCATGTAGCATCCAAAATAAAGTGACATGCATCATTATGGACATAATTATGTACAAGTAGTAAAAAATGTGAAATTCATCACAAATTCACCCACCTGAACCATAACGACGCAGATCAAGATACCACCAAAAGCTTTCTTTGTTGAGATTCAAGTTATCCAAGCGTTCTTCTAGGTAATCAAGGCGTTCCTCCCTTTGACTTCCACCAATAAGTTCCCCGACCTGACATAAAAAAAAAACACTTTGAAACATTGAGCTAGAACAATATTATACATCATGGTTTAACTGGTTCAACTTAATTAATAATTGGAATCCACAGCTCTCTGTCAACCACAAACAATATAACCAGCCAAGCAGACATAGTAAAAAAAATAGCATTAGTGAGTTTCTGGCAATCCAAAACTGTAATAGCACATTGGCTATGCTCAGAATTCAGATTCATACATCAGTAGTTCATGCTATAAATAACATACTGTGTTTCTACTATGAATGCCCCATCTCAAAAAGGAAAAAAGGAGAAAAAGGAAAACAGAGACCACTTGATTATTGTACAGACACAACTACTAGTTAAACCGTAGCCAGACAAATCATTATAGGGATTAACTTATTGAAAGGTTATAATGTACTATCAATATGGATATAGAATGTATACATGCGACAGATTTTCGAAATGCTTGTTTCAGTAAAAAAATAAGCCTTTAAAAATGGGATTTAATGTTTCATCAGATCCTTGATGGTGCAAGCAGTGTATGTCAGTGCAAATGAATAACAGCTAATGAAAAATACTGATTTGTTTTACGTTGTACAACTTGTCAAAGCAAACTGAAAAATTCCATGGAAAACTAAAGTATTAATTAAGTTTCTAGACTCTACCCGAGGTACCAACATATCCATGGCTGCAACAGTCTTTCCATCATCATTCTGTCGCATGTAAAATGCTTTGATGTCCTGAAATTTAAGGAACACCATTAACTATCTGAAATCCCCATAGAGTTTGCACATAAATGCAACTTGATAGGAAGTTAAACCTTCGGATAGTCTCTAATAATTACAGGGCATCCACCAAAAGCCTCCTCGGTGATATATCGTTCATGCTCACTTTGCAAATCACATCCCCATTTCACCTACCAAATGCAGAAGCAGCCATTACTTTTCTAGGCAAGGTAACAGGAGTGTGCACGGGGAGATGTAAGTGAGAAGGCATGCAAATAAGCAGACATACCGGGAAATCAAACTTCTTTTTTGCTTTTAATAGAAGCTCAACAGCGTCCGTGTACGTCAACTGCACAAAGTTCTTCTCAACAACATCCTGCAGGGAGCCTATGATTACAACGGGACCAACTATTTGGTGCACACTGTAGAGCACCAAGGTTGTGGAAAATATTTTGTGAAGAAAATGCATGGAGTTCGTAGAAATTCGTACACTTAGTCTATTGATGATCCCTTTCTCAATCCAAGTATTGAAAAAATCCATATCTTCTTTGCAATTCTCCAACACATATTGCACCTTCCAAGCAGAGTTACGTCAATACAAAAGTCTAAATGTGAGACCAAGTTATGAATATGCACTAAGGGACAGCAAGAGGTGAAAAGTAACATACTACATACTGGAGATAGGCAGTAGCACAGGCCATGTCATCATCCAAATCCGCAAAAGCTAGTTCTGGTTCGATCATCTTATACAATATAAATCAGTGTCAACATGTTAGTGTGCCAGCTTCTAAAATGTCCGCATACAAGGAAAGAAATAAAATACAAGTTCCACCACATTTTATCAGTTCGAATGTAAGCTTACCCAAAACTCAGCTAAGTGTCTGGAAGTGTTGGAATTTTCTGCTCTAAATGTGGGGCCAAAAGTATAGATCTGGAGACATATACAACATTGTTAGACTTTGAGATCAATGAAGACAAGCATGAAACGATTTTGTGATGGAGAGATCAAGCTGGATAAGTAGTTATAAGCCAGAGAAAGCAGTAGCATATGAAATTGATAAGTGAGAGCAGACTCTACATCGGAGAGAGCAGTAGCATATGTTTCGCCATTGAGTTGCCCGGACACTGTTAAAAATGCTTGTTTCCCAAAGAAGTCCTGCAACAAAAAGATGTATTTACAAGAAGAAGAAGAAGAAAAAAAGACAATTTCATGACAAAAATCCAACATCAAGTGCATAACTGCATATACCTATTAAATTTCAGGACTTAAAACGTTTATATTGCTTGTAATGATATCGACTAGCAAAAGACTTTAATTAGCTACACAATAAACTTCACTCTAAAATGGACAAAGCCCCCTAGTTGTTGATTTACTTACTTGCGACCAGTCGACAGAACCAGATTCAGTAGTAGGGATAGCATTAACTGGTGAATCTCCACCTTCTTTTGTGGTCGGGATCTGTTAGGTAAACAAACATCTTACTCAGCACAAGAGATATTTCATAAGAAAGATTATAAGCAAAGTTCTGTTTCATCATTTTTTTGAAATGGAAAAAAAAAAATGACAAAGAAAGAGGTCAAGATAAACTGAACATAAGTATTGTTGGCATTTGGATGAATTAAAACGAAATAATCATGTAGGTAAGGAGTATATCTTACAAAGCATATGTGCAGGGGTAAGAAAAAAATTAATGACAAAGAAACAGGTCAAGATAAACTTAAGTCATAGGAAACTATCTATGTCCAACAGAAGGCAAATTAAAACAGGATTTCTGCAAGACTATAAGTAGACTAAACTTTAATTCTTTGTATTAACAGTCTAAAATGCAACACTTAGACAGTGCAAAATTCAGTTAACAACAACAACAACAACAACAACAACCCCTCAGTGTAATCCCACGAGTGGGGTCTGGGGAGGGTGGGATGTACGCAGCCTTACCCCTATCCTGGAAGGGCAGAGAGACTATTTTCGATAGACCCTCGGCTAAAGAAGATGGAAGAAGCGCTGATAGCAAGTCATAGCAAGACAATATATTTAGAAAACAAAATCGAAGATAGCAATAGAGAATATGAAAGAAGTACCGATAGCAAGTAACAGCAAGACAATATATTCAGAGAACTAAATCCAAGATAGCAATAGTGAATATGAAAGGAGTACTGATGTCAAGTAATAATAGAACACGATATGCAATAATAGCAAACTCAGGATAAAAGGGGTACCATACTAACACTAATACTATCGAACTAATGAAGACAAAGGGAATCGCACAATTACCTACTAACCTTCTACCCTAATCCTCAACCTCCACATCTTCCTATTCAGCTAAATAGAATTATAAACTTCCAATACATCATCCTTCTATCCCTCAACCAAGGTCAGTGTTTAGCTTTTTGTTTTTCTTTCCCTCTCTTTCTTAGTTCTAGGTAAGAGGTGTGAAGAGAGCTGGGGCGCTGCAGATGCACATTAAATCAACATATACATACCAAGGTGGTCACACGGAATTGCTCACCAGCTCCTTCACAGTCAGAAGCAGTGATTATTGGACTTGAGACCCAAACAAAGCCATTTTCTTGGAAAAACTTGTGTGTAGCATAGGCCAAAGCATTTCTCACCCTTGAAACCTGAAAGAAGCTGACATAAAATTAGGGATTGGCAAAAAACGACATACAATAAAAGTCTGCATACCCAGAGAAACAGAGAAATAGATCATATATACAGGAAACATGATGGCTTCTAAGCTTGCCGGACTTAACCCCCAAGATAATACACCCAAGAGTGATTTCACTAATCAAGCGAATCACCCCTTTATATTAATCTAAGGCTGTTAATAGAAGATAATTATCCTTTAAAAATGTCAAGCCTATTGGTTTTATTGCCAACATCAATTGTATCCAGCTACCAGCTACTCTTAATAGTAATCCAATTATTTATCATTTTTAGGAAATATCAGCCAAAAGGGGGAATAGCACTCCTTGATTCGGGCAATGTAACTTATAGGTGTTTAAAGAATCAGCATTACTTGCCTTGGAAAAGGACAAGAACCTTGAATTTAAGAACTAGCTGAGAAGAATTGCTGTCCAGTGTGATTTACTTGCATATAGGTCTCATGTAACTATTCTATAATTCCATTCCAACCAGTTATATCTATGTTCTTATTTGATCGGTGACCCAAAGAACTTTTTTCATTTTCGGTATGTAGAAAAAGGAAAGGATTTCTTTTTCCTTTTTTGGGGGTAGGGTGGGGTGGGGAGGGATATGAAACTGACTGATTGCTATACAGAAAGGATAAAGGCTCAATGCAAGGGCAGTTAGGCTCTAGTACCCTCTGATCAGAGGCTGCTAGGGAGTGCCGTAAATTTAGATATGAATGGAGATAATTTTTATGAAAAAAGATGGCATGCTAAGAAAAGGAGTAAGTATTATTTTATTTCAATTACAGGGCAACTAGCTAAATTCCCTTAGCGTAAAGAGGAATTCACAAGTATTTCAAACAGAAAGGGAAAACTCAGTACTGCATGTAAGCAGGTAAAAAAATAAACCTATAGCATGGATCACGATGTAGAATAGGGCATAATTACATGCAATTAGCACCATTTCCCTACCAAACTACATGGATATTCCAAAACCTCCTCAGAGTATCTGGGTAAAATAAAAATAGAGATTTGAAAGCTACAAATAATAACACTGGAACAGTCCCAACTCATACCGCACCAAAAGTATTAGTTCGAGGGCGAAGGTGAGCTTTCGTCCTCAAAAATTCTCTGCTGACCCTTTTCTTCTGGATAGGGAAAGAAGGATCGCTTTTACCAACCTGTGAGGAAACAAGTACGAGCAAGCATAGTGATTAAACGACCAGTACATAATGTACAAATACAACAGCAATGCAGATTAGATTAGTTATAGCAAAAATGTCGATAAGCTTATTCGTAACAGAAAATATTTATAATTACGTGCATCATTCCTGTTGGCATTTACTCAGTTTTCAGTTGGTCTTGTGCTTCTCATTTCCTCTCTTTACAAATCACTAAGTCAAGAAACCTGAGTCAAAGGTAGTTGCTCTTAGGTTCAAGGCTAATTTTTTGGATAAAGGCATTCAAGGCTAGTTATCAAAAGAAGAATATAACCTTCATCAAAAAATCAAAAGAAGAATATAACTCCAGTGTTAAGGATGTGTAAGCATGCTCGTAACTTAAGCAATAGAAAATTGATGAAATAGGTTAAAATCAATTACCACTACAAGCTTCTGAACCTTCAACTCTATTTTCTGCTTTGATCCTTGACTACCGACCACAGTACCTTCTATCCATACTGATGCACCAGTTGAAATTGAACCATTGTCTACCTGTAAGAAAAGCAACAAAGTTAAAGTAGATAAGAGACGAGAGGCCAAACAACTCAAATAACCCATGAAATTAAAGTCTAATTTTTCTTACGCCAGAGAGATATTGTTCGAAATTGGAGCCTTAAAAAAACTATCAATAATGTTGGAGCCTTAAAAGATATATTCCCATGTAAGAAGCATCTTCCAAAGAAAGAAGAGAAAGAAGGTTCTTGAGAAAAGAAACAAGAAGGTTACATCCATGTTTTTTTTCATGAATCTCAAAGTTTTACTATCCACTAGGTGCAATGCAATCTGGAGCTTTTTAGAAATAATTTTTTCCTTGGACTACCAAATCACTATGAACTGGTAACTGGTTTTGATACATGATCTGACATGTAAATCAACTTCTGCTGATCCATTGCTTCCCACGAAATTAGTCATTGAACTTTATGTGAAGATGAAATAAAATATGTCCTCTTAATTGAGGGAGGCGATTGCTGTAACTCAACTGGTGAAGCTAGTCATAGTTTTATTTGTAAAATGGCACTCTAAACACCCGATACAAGAAAAAGCAAAAGGTAGTAAAAGTCACTCTATTGGATGGTGATAACTTCCTTTTGAATCCCACCTCCTACATTTTTCTACTTTTCTCTTTTAATCTTTGTTTACTGAGATCACATTTGTCTTCGTTATATAGCAACGGTATCCTAGCCCCATTGTGCGCACCTCAAAGTCACCTTTATATTTTACTTATTATTAGCAATCTGAGTCAAGTGAGCACAACTGTGTACCACATTATCTAGTACCTATTGAACCACATAAAGGAAATAGCAAAGAGCAGACACATGCATAACATCTTCATAACCTACTTCAAATTACACAAGAACTGAGCATTTCCAAGAATAGCTATCCAAGTGGCATAGCATGATGTTTGATACCTAGGTAATGCAATACAAAAGCGGCTCTCTAAGTGAATGCCTGGCCATGTCCAATGTCTAAGTGTGAGGTAGCTAAATTATACAATTCTTCAGAAGATCTTTCCTTCAACATTGAACTCCTCAAGCTTCGAAAACCGAATTTCAAAAGGACCAGTGAAAGAAATCATCTTTCCTGAGAACCTACCTACAAATTTTTTTAATTTCTTTCTTTACTATTATAAATATAAACCACATAAATGCAACTCGGCAGATGACAAACTGTACATTTCAAAAGTTACGCACCTGATCATATGATATAAGTGATCAGCTCAAAATAAGGACAATGTAGTTTCTAACATTATTAAGCTGGGCAGTCTCTTACTCAGTAGTCAGTACAGCTACAAACAGTTACAGGAATATCTACATAAAGTCTGTTACTGCACTTAAAGTACTTTTTGATAGCTCAATATATAAAGACAGAGCACACATTAGTTACATATTCAGTACCTGATCATAACCCTCAGCATCAGAGCCCATAACACATTGCATATTTGAAAGACAAGAACCATCATTAACCTGCACATAAACAAAACAGCCGAAAAATTACAATCTCAAACTAACACATATGCTAAAACAAAAATAAAACAAAACACCAACTCCACAAGTTTCAAGCTATGACATTACATCAATAAACGTAACGCTGCTCTGAGCCCTAACCGTACGAACCCAACCTCTAACCACCAATGTCTCGCCGAGCCGCTCCAAACCTTCGTCAGGCCCTCCTTTTATGTCAGCAATACTCAACCTTTTTTTAAATTCCCTAACTTGCTCAGTTTTTACACCCTCTTTTTGCTCAAATTTGGGTTTTTCAACTGCTTCTCCGGAGGAAATAGCGGCGGAGACAACAGAGCAAAAGCTCCGTTGACGGCATAAGTAGGGTGCTGGAATTGAATTGGTGTGCAGCTTAAGGGGGAAGGATGAGTAGAAATTGGGGTTTAAGATTTTGATGGGTTTGCGGGATTGAGTGAAGAAGCGAACGGCGTACAATGGTTTAAGGCGGAGAGTGGTGGCTGGAGACAGAGCACCAGCCATTTTTTCAGCAAGTCTTTTGTATCGCTACTGCTGCCACTGGTTTTTCACTAACCCATATCCGGCTATCCGCTCAGCAATACAAACCCGGGCGTCTCGGTTATGGATCCGTCAATTTTTATTTTTATTTTTATTTTTATTTTATTACAAAGGAAAATTGTGCTTTTAATCCCGTAAACATTGACAAATTTCGATTCTAGTCCTTGTAATTGCTGGTTGAGTACATTTAACTTCCACTTAATTAATACTATGTGTAATTTTTATTCTTGTGAAGTTTTATAAATTTTGGCGAATTATTAAACTAAACAATTTAATGTGTTCTGTTAATTTGTACAATTTTAGTTGTTAAATTTCAAAATTAAGATCTGGTACACGCTTTTTCTTTAACTTCATGCTTATTATAGTTTAGTCCCATTAAACAATTTTGTTGTTAAGGAAAAAAGTTATGACTTCTCCTTAGAATATATAGTATAATATTTTAGGAACTCATAGTCGAGTGACAAAGTTTTGTCATCAGCACAATGATAACTTCAGTAATTATTAGTTGATGAATTCGATTGCGATATTAGATTAAATTCAATCGATTTAAAAATTTACTATAAAAGATTATAATTATTTATCAAATAAAATGAAATAAAAAATAGAATAGTTATAAAGTATGATCCAAGTAATTTGAAATTGAAATTTAACACTACATTATCGCATTTTGATAAGTGTTTGTATTTTAGATTTAAATTACTATAGGATAAGTTATATATACGAAACATGTAGAATTTGAAAGGACCTAGGATGAAAATAGTTCTTACGGACTTGTAGTTCTTAAAAGAAATATGAGAAAATAACAAAAATAGCCACTCATCTTCAATGATTGGTCTAAACTAGTCTTTTAAATATGCACCTAAGTAATTTTAGTCATTTATATTTACTAAAATCCAGCATTTTGGGCTCTATTATTATTATTAGAATATACAACATAATTATCTTTGATGAAATTGGTTTGTGAGAGCCTGTAAGTTATTTAAATTGGAGAAATATGTTGGAAGAAAATTTCTATAAGTTCATTTTGCACGGATTATGCTTAATACTCAACCAATTTGAATACAATATTTGCTTCATTTGCTATTAATTATTAAACTTGCGAATAAACTAATATTTATATCTCATCCGAATCCTCAACAACACCCTTCTTTATTTTATATTTCAATTATTACTATTAAAGGGAGAGGGGGGGGGGTGAAATCCTTTAATTATTAGAATCTTTATAGCTATGAATTTTTTCAAGATACAAATAGGGAGAAATGAACTGCGAGAAACATGTTAAGATGATTTTTTTTTAAATGATCATATTTTTCACGAGTCAATTTTCGTCAGAAATAACTACTGCCATGTGTGTTATAAATATCGCAGATATCACATTTCCCTCTTCTTCGGAATTATAACCGATTTCAAAAGTGCTTGTATAAACATAAAAACACAAAAATTGTTCAGCTGTATAGGAGTGTTCATGGTTCGGTTTGGTTCGGTTTTTCCCTAAAAAGAAACCAAACCAAGTAGGTCGGTTTTTCAAATATTAGAACCAAACCAAACCAATTAAGTCGGTTTTTTCTCGATTCGGTTTATGTCGGGTTTTGTCGGTTTTTCGGTTTTTTCGGTTAGTTGTCAGTTTTTTCTTAAATATAAGACATACACTACCAAACACATATTCCGGCGACCACATTTTCTACGTAACACTATCAAATCAATTGCCCTTTGAGAAATCTATTATTTACCAAGATTGAATCAAATACTAATGATAATCTAAGGACTCAATTAAAAATATATTATTTCACGAAATGGATTCTTACACTTAACAAAAGAAAACTACCAATCAAACTAGAATGTAAAGGTAAAGAACTATACTAAAAGTGCAAGCTATTAACATTTACCATTACATTTTTTAAACTTTGTACAAAAATATACATATATATAGGTGTAATAATAAATTTGAAATAGCTACTACTATAGGCGGTTTGGTTCGATTTTTTTCTGATTAAAACCAAAACCAAACCAAATTTGATCGGTTTTTAAAATCAAAACCAAAACCAAACCAAACCAAAAAGTATGGGTTTTTCTGGTCAGTATGGTTTGATTTTGGGTTTGGTTCGATTTTTCGGGTTTTTATGAAGACTATATTAAACCAGCTCTCAAACATAAAGGACTAGTTCTATAATTTTCTGAAAAAATAGCATAGACTCAATTTGAGGAAAGAAAGAGAAGACCGAGCACGAAGACAAACTGTACAATGGAAAGCGGCGAAGTGGTAGTGGAAGAAGCCAAGAGGAGATGTAAAGCCCTCAAAAATCGAATTTCAACCTTGTCAACTACTACTCAATCCTCATGGAAAACTACCCTTTTGAGGCTAATCAATTCTGAGCTCTCTTTCCTTAACCGCGTTAACAACTCACCTCTTAAACTCAGCACCAACATTGGATATCTCGAATCCGTCGTTCACATTCTCCAACACCCACTAATAACATCCGTTTCACGAGTCTGCAAACCCATTTCGATTTCATCCAAAGTTCCACAACAAAGCATTTACGTCGACATAATTTGCTCTTTTAATGGAAACCCAGTTTGGTTCATAGTATCCGACAGAAATCCCAGGTATATTTCTTGGCAAGATTCGGAGAAAACGAAGAACAATAAAGGGCTAAGAAACAGAATTAGTCAGCTCCTGTTTGCTGCCTCAGAGTCGTGTGCTACTGTGAGGCCTTGTTCTATTATACTTTTCTTCTCAAATGGGCTTCAAAATTGCATTATTGAGAAGCTGAAAGATGAATTTGGAGCTACTACTGATCTGGGGTTTGGGTTTTCTGATTTTGATTGTGAGTTTGTGGATGAATTAGAAGAGGATGGTGATTGGGTAAGTGTACTAGGAAGGTCTTTTGAAAAGGCTTGTGTTTTAGAAATAAAGATTGGTTCTTTTTCTTCTAGTAATAAAGATGGACAAACATTAACAGACCAATCTGGGAATTCAGAGAAGGTGCATATTAAGGATGTTAGCTATGATGTAAATTTGGGTGGTTCTTTTATTGCACTTGTGTCAGCATTGAGGAGTTGGTCCCCTTCTGATGTTGAAGACGCTGAATTGGTTAATTTTGATACGACAGCACTAGTTGCTATAGTGTCCGGGATTAGTAATGGAGGTATTGATCGGATTCTTGCTACGCCAGAGAGCGAGTTGAGGAGTCGATTCAAGGGCAATTATGAGTTCATGATTGGACAGGTGAAATCTCTTTGTTAAAAGTTTTGATACCCTTCTGTTGTTCAAGTTTGGAGAGGTTATTTTGTATTTCTCTGTTCATTTCGATTTTGTTAATAGCCAATTGATTTATTTATAGAACTAACATACCCTAGAGATTCCTATGAAAGAACTAGTGGCTTTCAGGGGCGGAGGCATAACCGAATTACGGGTTCGTCTGAACCCAATAGCTTTTGCTCGAATAGTGTATTTGGTACTTATAGTTCATTAAATATGTACATATATTAAATTTAGAACCCAATTATTAACACTTAAAGTCGGCTTTCTAAAATCCAGAACCCATAAGGTTGAAAACTTGCATTCGCCTCTGGTGGCTTTACAGCCAGAGATGACCTAAATGACATTGGTTGAATCAAAATATTTTATCATATCAGTTGCCTCTATAGTGATCGATAGCAAATCCGTTTATAATGCCATTTTTTATTGTTTGCGTTTTCACATAAATGTACTATCGGATTGGTAGAGTAGCTAGATTTGATCACGAAGCAAAAGGTCTTTTTAAAGTTACATTTTGCATAAACTGGCAGATTTAATCTATTGTAAATTGGATATGATTACAATATATTTCTACTTCAATTGATGGTTCACATTGTATTGGTAAAAATTTGACCATACGACAGCCACGGAGCCGGCCCCGTCCTAACCTACTCATAACGAATGGCCAACGCAACTGACTTAAAATTCGTGACAGCTGTTCGTCAAGACGAACAAGGGGGTCACGGCCCTTTCGCGACAGGAGGATGTCTCCTCGATTAAACTATGACAGCTCGTGACCAGCTCACAGAGCTTGAAGCTATAAATACCAAGAAAGAGAACCTTCAAGGGGGGCTTCTTCTTCGACTGGGCCAGAAAACAGAAAAATGGTAGTATATGCTCCATAAACGGGGCGATGAACAAGATAAATGTAAGATCCTAAACCTCTCTAAGGAGAGGCAGATCAAACTATTATGATGAATAAAACCCCGTCCATACCATTCTCCAATGGATGATTCATACATCTCAAATTTGTCTTCTGATTCAGTGATTAATTATGATTGGCTATGATTTACCTGTTCATTTCTTTCGATTGATTTGCTTAAAAAGTATCTGATAACTTTTGAGTCAAACAATTTGGCGTCGTCTGTGGGGATTTCCTAGCGAAATCACATAGTTCTTCCTGGATCGAAGCCAAAGGAACGTCCAAAAAGAGGGCAATCCAACTCGAACAAGCCAAAGGAAGCGCATCGAGCACAAAATGCTCAAACGCATCAAAGGAAACTAAGGTCCTCGCTGCCCAGTCAATCTTGAAAAAGCCCAAATGAGAAGAAGAAGCCCCCTTCTCCCTCAGGACAGAAATGTGAAGCGTTCCCCTCATCCCTAATGCGGTGCAAGGCCGGAAACCGGCACAGGGACGTTTCAAGCCAGGGATCGAAAATCACCCAAAAGCTTCGCCATCAAGATAAGTTCGACCTCAGTCGAACTGGGAATAAGGCAGTGCCTTCGCCATCAAGATAAGTTCGACCTCAGTCGAACTGGGACTAAGGCTAAGTGCCTTCGCCATCAAAGTAAGTTCGACCTCGCTCGAACTAAGAATAAGGCTAAGTGCCTTCGCCATCAAAGTAAGTTCGACCTCGCTCGAACCAAGAATAAGGCTAAGTGCCTTCGCCATCAAGATAAGTTCGACCTCAGTCGAACTGGGACTAAGGCTAAGTGCCTTCGCCATCAAGATAAGTTCGACCTCAGTCGAACTGGGAATAAGGCAGTGCCTTCGCCATCAAGATAAGTTCGACCTCAGTCGAACTGGGACTAAGGCTAAGTGCCTTCGCCATCAAAGTAAGTTCGACCTCGCTCGAACCATGAATAAGGCTAAGTGCCTTCGCCATCAAGATAAGTTCGACCTCAGTCGAACTGGGAATAAGGCTAAGTGCCTTCGCCATCAAGATAAGTTCGACCTCAGTCGAACTAGGAATAAGGCAGTGCCTTCGCCATCAAGATAAATTCGACCTCAGTCAAACTGGGACTAGGGCTAAGTGCCTTCGCCATCAAAGTAAGTTCGACCTCGCTCGAACCATGAATAAGGCAGTGCCTTCGCCATCAAGATAAGTTCGACCTCAGTCGAACTGGGACTAAGGCTAAGTGCCTTCGCCATCAAAGTAAGTTCGACCTCGCTCGAACCATGAATAAGGCAGTGCCTTCGCCATCAAGATAAGTTCGACCTCAGTCGAACTGGGACTAAGGCTAAGTGCCTTCGCCATCAAAGTAAGTTCGACCTCGCTCGAACCATGAATAAGGCTAAGTGCCTTGGCCATCAAGATAAGTTCGACCTCGCTCGAACTAGGACTAAGGCTAAGTGCCTTCGCCATCAAAGTAAGTTCGACCTCGCTCGAAACATAAATAAGGTTAAGTGTCTTCCCCATCAAGATAAGTTCGACCTCAGTCGAACTGGGACTAAGGCTAAGTGCCTTCGCTATCAAAGTAAGTTCGACCTCGCTCGAACCATGAATAAGGCAGTGCCTTCGCCATCAAGATAAGTTCGACCTCAGTCGAACTGGGACTAAGGCTAAGTGCTTCGCCATCAAAGTAAGTTCGACCTCGCTCGAACCATGAATAAGGCTAAGTGCCTTCGCCATCAAAGTAAGTTCGACCTCGCTCGAACCATGAATAAGGCTAAGTGCCTTCGCCATCAAGATAAGTTCGACCTCAGTCGAACTGGGACTAAGGCTAAGTGCCTTCGCCATCAAGATAAGTTCGACCTCAGTCAAACTGGGACTAAGTCTAAGTGCCTTCGCCATCAAGATAAGTTCGACCTCAGTCAAATTGGGACTAAGGCTAAGTGCCTTCGCCATCAAAGTAAGTTCAACCTCGCTCGAACTAAGAATAAAGCTAAGTGCCTTCGCCATCAAGATAAGTTCGACCTCAGTCGAACTGGAAATAAGGCAGTGCCTTCGCCATCAAGATAAGTTTGACCTCAGTCGAACTGGGACTAAGGCTAAGTGCCTTCGCCATCAAGATAAGTCTCAGTCGAACTAGGACTAAGGCTAAGTGCCTTCGCCATCAAGATAAGTTCGACGAACTGGGACTAAGGCTAAGTGCCTTCTCCATCAAAGTAAGTTCGACCTCGCTCGAACTAAGAATAAGGCTAAGTGCCTTCGTCATCAAAGCAAGCTCGACCTCAGTCGAACTGGGACTAAGGCTAAGTACCTTCGCCATCAAAGTAAGTTCGACCTCGCTCGAATTGAAGATAAGGTCGAACGCCTTCGCCATCAAAGCTAGTTCGACCTCAGTCGAGCCGGGACTGAAGCCAAGCTTCCTCGCCACAAAACGGCAATTCCACCTCGCTCATATCGAGACGAAGGATAAGAACAGTCATTAGTCAAGGGCTGATACACCAACCCCCGTCAAACTCAAAAAGTCGACACTTCAAGTTTGCAAAAAAAATAAAATAAGAAAAAGAAGGTACGAAATAGGCGCAAGACCAAACGACGAAAAAGTAAATTCATTTATCCACGAAGTTGAGAATGCGGGTCATCCCCGCTTACACCCGGCCAGGGCCGGTCGACATAAAAAAAACGAACAAAGAAAAACCATAATGTACGAACGCCAACCGGCGAACGGAACAAAAAAAACAACAAATTCTCACTCGGCGCCATCCTCGCCACCACTCGTACCATCGTCAGCCTCGGGCGTCGCCACATCATAGCCACAATCAGCACGGGCCTCACGAGCCTTCTGACGTGCCACCTCGTAAGCCGCCTCGGTCACAGTACCTGCCTCCCACAAATTCTTGAAGATATCACGTTGAGCTTCAGCATAGACCCAAAGGTCATGAGCCTGGTTGGGAACGGCAGTGTGTGACGACCCAACTTGGTCCTGCAGTCGCTGGTTCTCCTCCTCCAAGACCGTAATTCGATCCGACAGAACTTGGGCCTCCTGGTCAAGGACACTAATGCGCTCCTCGAGCCCCTCTTCCCTGAGGGCCGCAGTAGTCCTCTTCGTTTCTCGTTCGGCCTCATGGACGCGGATCGCCTCCTCCAACGCCCTGGCCCCCGTCAAGGCATCCCTCTCCCGAAGCTTCAAGGCAGCAATCTCGCCCTCCATCTCCACCAACTTCCCACTCCACTCCACAGCCATCTCCGCTGCCTTAACCTGGTTCTGCTCCGCCTCCAATTCCATCTCCCTCAACTTATCCCGCAGATGCACACACTCAGCGGCAATCCTCTTTCCCACCTCGAGCTCCTCATCCTTCATACGAATTTGCTCCTCAAGCTCGCCTTTGCTACCAAGCACCTGCAGCAGCTCTCGATTCCGCTTTTCCAGCTCCTCGCCCAGAGCTCGGTTACAAGGATTGTCCTTCAACCACCCGTGCACCTCTCGGCACCTGTCACGATAACGGCAATACTTTCCCAGCATCTGCAGAAAGATCCTCGAACGGACATTGGCTCTGCGGATTGTCACGACCCAACCCCGGTCGTGATGGCGCCCAACACACTACTAGGCAAGCCCGACCATTTACACAACCTTAGCCAATTAATATAGATAGATAAATAAATATTCACTAATAAAATACCAATTTAAGTGCGAAATCTCTGAAATAATCTCTAATATTCGAAAACCCTAAAATAAAATACTAGTCAGCCCACAGAATCTGGTGTCACGAACATGAGCCTCTAATACAGAATATTCACCTAATCACAAATTTGTCTAGGAAATAAAATGCGAATAAAAGGATAAAGATAGATAGGAGAGTTCAAGGCTGCGAACGCCATGCAGCTACCTCGATACTCCCTTCACCTTGTATGCAGATCCAGGTACACCACAGGGTGATAGAGGATTTGTTAGCTGAGGGGAGTATCGAGGTAGCTGCATGGCGTTCGCAACCTTGATCTCTCCCATCTATCTTTATCCTTTTATTCGCATTTTCTTTCCTAGACAAATTTGTGACTAGGTGAATATTCTGTATTAGAGGCTTATGTTCGTGACATCAGATTCTGTGGGCTGACTAGTATTTTATTTTGGGGT